GCCCTGGCCCCCCTGCCCCGCGCGCAGGCCACAGCATGCCAATCCAGGACACTGACACACGTTTGCTTGGGAAGCTTTGCCATATCTAAACCATACTCTGCACTACGCTCTAAAATGATGCCCCCCGTCCAGTGCCAGCAGGTGGCCCGAGAGACGCATGGCAGCCCTAGGAGCCTGCTGGGGGACGGATAAGGGTGTGCTAGCCTGGAGTCTCCAAGAAACAGACGCCAAGGTGTGCAATGTCATTAGGGGACACGCATGTGTGAGATGAGACAGAGAGGGAGCCAGAGAAGGCCTGGGGGGTCAGCAGGGCAGGCGAGAGTGACCCTGAGAGACCAGACACGGAGAGGTGAGTGCGGCCATCTAAGAAAGCCTCAGCAGGGCCACTGAGAAATCCTCCTTGGGCCAAAGTCGACCAACAAAGAAATCGCGTCTCCGGGGAATCATCCTGCCCTATGCCCAGGCGCACATGGTCATCGGTGGGGCGCCGCGCGTGGGGGGCATGGGATGGATTTTGAAGCCAGGGCTGCCCTGCACGGGTCATTTATACGCCCTGTCGTAGGAGATCTGGCAAGGCCCATTCTCATGGCCCCCATGGGGAGGGGGGGGCTACAGAAAGAACTGGGGTTCACATTCTAGTCAGAGCACAACAGTTAAAAATTCCAGAGTGGAAAAAAATACACATATCCTGGGGTACAACCATGCTCACCACTGACAAGCTGTGTGGCATTGGGCAAGAAACTTAATTTCTCTGATCCTTATTAGTTTCCTTGTCTGTAAAAGGACTGGGAAGTGCTGCAGCATGAAAGTAGAACAGCCACAAGAGGTGCTCACTAAATGGGGGCCTTTATCTCCTCCCCGTGTGGCCACAGCTCAGTGGGTCTGGGGGCTACACCACATGCATTCCCTGAGGGAGGAGTCCCAAGTCCCCTGCTGACCTTGATTCCCTGGGACAGCAGACGGCGCTTCCATCTCAAGCCCATACCGAGCGGGCCCAGAGTTGGCACAGAGTGGGCTACAGAGGTCAAGCTGGCTTACAAACCAGTCCAAGAAGCACCCTGAGGAATATCTCCCCCAAGGCCAAAGAGAAATATTTAGAAGAGGCTGCGGGCCAGGGCTGGGATGGCCACTCGTTACCGCCTCGGGCTCCGGCTTGTTTGAAAACTCATCACCCAGGCTGGGACTGTGGGCTGGGGCCCAGGTGGGGAGGGGAGGGCAGGAGGCATCTCCTTGGACGAGACTGTAAACCCCAGCGGCAGACGGCAGACGGCCGGCCGGGCTCCCACCCACCCCAGGCACATGCCTGCTCCGCAGCGCCGGGAAGGCTCGCTCGCTCTGGTTTCTGTCCCTCGGTGCCCGTCCTTTGGTGTCCTTCGCCTGTCTCTTGCCTTCCCTCCCTCCCAATCTCTGTGGGCCCCTTTCCCCTCCCCCTTTCTTCTCTCTCTCCAGCGGTGGCCCCATTTCTGGACACCTTCGGGGGCCTGAGCTTGTACATCCCCCTCTCCCTGGGTCTCTGAGTCTCCCCCAGGGGCCTCTCTCCTCTCGTTCTGGTTCTCACGCTCTCCTGCTCCCTCAGCCCTGGTCTCTCCCTCATGTTCCTCCTCTCCCACCAGTTGGCCTCCCAGCCCAGCCGCCACTGCCACCGCCACCTCGGAGCTGTGTCACCGCCACCTCGGAGCCGTGTGCTGCCTCGGAATGTCTTCAAGGCCCGGGAGCAGCTGAGCCCCCGAAGTTCCATAGGGACCTTGGAATCGCACCCCTGTCTCCCATCTGCCTTCTTTCTTCCTCTGTGCAGGGCAGACATGCTCGGAACCAGACAGTCCCCCCGGTGCAGCCCGGGGGACCTGGCGCCCCAGACCCAGCCTGCTGCCTCTAATAATACAGCATCCCAACCTCCCCCTCCCTCACTCCCCCCTCTCTGCATCACTGCCTCTTCCAAACTTCTCTCTATATCCAACCTTTAGAACTCACTGCTAGTTATAGGCAATACTAAGAAACTGGGACAAACAGGACATCATTTTTATATCAAAGAATGGGAAACTGGCTTAATTAAATGTGGAGTATCTATTCAACACAACTTTATAAAAACCATGATGTAGATCCATACACACTGATATTATTATTATTTTTTAATTTAGGATTTAAAGCATTTTTTAAATTTATTTTTCTTTTTTAGAGAAGGAGAGAGAGCATGAGACAGTGGGGCTGAGAGGCACAGGGAGAGATAGCGAGATAGAGAGAGAGAGAGAGAGAGAGAGAGCGAGAGAGAGAGAGAGAGAGAGAGAGAATCTCAAGCAGGCTCCATGCTCATCTAGATCTCATGACCGTGGGATCATGACCTCAGCCAAAATCAAGAGTGAGTGGCTCAACCAAGCTACTATGTACATACATACTGATATTAAATACAAACTCAGGTAAGCCAAAAGCAGATTTAAAATAGTATTTAGGGGGTACTTGGGTGACTCAGTTGGGTAAGCATCCAACTCAGCTCAGGTCATGATCTCATGGTTTGTGGGTTTGAGCCCCCTGTTGGGTTCTGTGCTAACGGCTCAAAGCCTGGAGCCTGCTTGGGATTCAGTGTCTCCCTCTTTCTCTGCCCCTTCCCTGCTCATGCTCGCTCTTTCTCTCTCTCAAAAATAAGTAAATATTAACAAAAATAGTATTTAGGGTATAAACTCATTTTGTAGGAGAAAATACAAATGTATAACGTCCAAAATAACATATTTATTTCAGGGTGGTGGAAATGACTTGTTTGGTATTGTAGCAAACAAATAAAACAAACCAGGATGTAGGCGAGAAAGGCACCAATTCTCCTCACTGCCTCTTTATTGATTTTTTAACCCAACAAACATTTCTGAAGACCAGAGACTAGGGACCCACAACAGATCCCACAACGACCCCCAGAGACTGACCAGGGTGACCAGAGGAGACCCTTCAGGTAGGTCTTCAGCTGGGGCCGGGGCTGAAGGCAAACAGAAGAGGCTCTGCAGCAAAGTGACTGGAGCTGCCTAGCTAGGGTCCCAAGCCTGAAGGGGGTGACTGCCCCGTGGAAGGCTTGGGGCACCCACCACTTAAAGGAGAAGAAATAGGACCCACTGCTAGAGATGCAAGATAAGAGGGGGGAGGGGAGGAGGACACAGAATGGGGGCGGGAGGGGGAGTTCTGAGCTTCAGCCACCGTCCCCCCACCCCAAGGAGCTCAAACCAGCCTAGCCATGGCAGCTGCAGAGACTGGAATAAAAGCCTGGCTGCCTCCCCAGGTGGAGGCCTTTGAAGTTAAGGAACCCCACCACAATGAAACTGTGGCTGGGGACTGCAATGGCTGGTGTGCTCCCAAGGGCCCGCCACCGCCAAAGACCCCAGCCCCCAAGGTCCTGCGCCAGTTTCCTCCCTTTGAGCCAGATGGGAGGGCATTCTTTCAGGCCCTGTGTGTTCTGTTTTCGGTTCTTTGCTTCATTTCCTCTTTTCTCTCCTTTTCTTTTCTTTCTTTTCTTCCTCCCCTCCCCCCCCCCGCCCCCGCTTTCTCATTTTCTGCAGAGTGCTAAGGAGCGATATATGGTGTCAAGAGTCAAAGCCAATTTGGGGCGCCTGGGTGACTCAGTCGGTTAAGCGTCCAACTTCGGCTCAGGTCATGATTTCACAGTTCGTGGGTTCCAGCCCTGCTCGGGCTCTGTGCTGATGACCCTCCCCTGCGCTCTCTCTCTCTCTCTCTCTCTCTCTTTCTCTCTCTCTCGCTCTCTCTCTTTCTCCCTCTCAGAAATAAAAAACATTAAAAAATAAGAGTCAAAGGCAGTTCAAATGCCCTGCAGGGCTGAGCTGAGCACCAGCCCCACCACCAGAGGGCACCCGAGCACAGAAACAGGCAATTTCGAGAGAGAGAGGTGGGGGGTAGGAACAGCACTCAAACCCCCCGCGTGTCTCTGAACTACTCAGCCTGGGGTTTGGCCACGGCGGGTCAGCTCTGGAGTCATCCCGGAGGTGCTGGCTGGGTGGGGGCCCTAAGTTTGGGGGCCTGCCCTCCTCAACCGAATGTTGTTTATTACATAGATCGCCACCTACCGCCAGGTGATAGTGTTATGCTGCTAACCTGGAGGGTTTAGGGTGTACGCAGGAGCGCGGGGGGGGGGGGGGGGGGGGGGGGGGGGGGGGGGGGGGGGGGGGGGGGGGGGGGGGGGGCAGCTGCCGGAGACCACCGGAAAGGGATGTGATGGAAAGAGCACCGGACGCGGAATCCAGACAGCTGACTGCGACGCCACTACTTTCCATGTGACCTCTCTCTCCCTCTCCGCTGTTTGTTTTCTCATCTGTAAACAGAGGGGGTGCGTGGTACCCAAGCGCCCTTCAGACTCGGACCAAAGACATGCACCACCCTCCTTGAGGAATGCTGAAGACGGCACAGGAGGCCGGAGAAAGGGCCACTGTTGGCTAGGACAGTGCCGGGGCGCCCGGCACTGCGCTGACTCAGCGCGGGGGGCGCGGGGCCTCACCTGGGTGCCCTCGCCCAGCCCCGGAGTTACGCGCAACACCCCGTCGGCTCCCACCACCCGAATTTCCCAGCCTAGGCCTCCCACTGATGGCTCGGGCATCTCCCTACCCGCCGCCTGGAAGGGGAACCGAGTGAGCGGACTCTCCTTCGGTGCATGCGGGACGATGACCCTGCCCCCACCTCCCTGGGTGGTTAACCGCACCAAGGAAGGTTCTCTCAGTCCTCGCTGCGCCGACCTTCGCCGAGCCAGCGGCTACACTCCATCCCAGACGCCGGCGGCGACCGAGAACAGACCAGGGAGGCAGCAGCGCTCTGGGCCGGGTGTGGATCCACTCGGGGAAGCGGGTAACGGCCCGAGGCACCGTGGGCGAGACCTCGTTCCGGTGAATGAAGCTTGTGGGGTTACCTCCATGGGGATCCCTGGCCCCCCATTCCAGCCACATCCTTCTCCCACCTCCCCCAGTCTTGGGAGCCTGGTCCCCGAAGGTTCAAGAAGTCAAGAGCCTGGAGAAATGCACTGTGCAAATATATTGACTTTATTTGTCTCCGTTCGGGAGCCTCACAGACATATCCAAGTAAAAAGATCATTAAATAAAAGCCGTCAGCCATCGCAATGCAAAAATAAATATCCATCCTCCGGCCGCAGCAGCACCTGCGCTGCGCCCCGAGTCCCATCAGCCGCGCCTAACAACTATAAAAGTGTTCAGCGAGAGTGTGTTGGCGTGAGTGTGAACGGGTGCGTGCGCTGGGGGGCACGGTGGAGCGGTGTGCAAAATCGGAGTTGCAAACCATCGGACAAGGGAGTGGAGCGGTCTCCGGGAAGCCCCGGCGACCCAGGGTCGACTCAGCGCGGGCGCGCCTCCCGCACACACTCACAGCGGAGTCCGTACTGGGAAGAGTTAAAAAATAAACATTTACAAGGGCAAAGAAAGCGGCCCCCCTCCCCGGCACCCCCGCGCGCTCCGGCCCCCGGACGAGCGCAGCGCGGGGCGCACCGAGCAGTTCGCGGCCGGGCGAGAGGTCCCTGGCCTCGCGGGTCCCCGGAGTGCGGGGCGCGGGCCCTCTGGGGCTTCGTCCTCCGTCCGCGGGCGGGCGGCGCCCCTCACAGGGCCGAATCGGAGTCGCTGGAGTCCAGGCTGTTCCTCAGTTTGCAGCTGCTGAGCTGCTCCCTCTGCAGCGACAGGCTCTGCGTGCTGCGGCGCAGGCACTCCAGGCTCTGCAGGAACGACTTCTTGGCCTTTTCCTCCTCCATGGGGGACACCCCTTCCTCCTCCACCTCCTGGATCTCGTCGAAGGTCACCGGCTGCGTCTTGAAGCGGGACTGGCGCGGCCGCCGCAGCCGGCCCTTGCCCTTGGACAGCTTGGCGGGCCGCACGGGCTGCGGGAACTCGTCGGCCAGGCACACGAAGTGCGGCATCACCGCCTGGTAGCTGGAGCAGATGCCCATCAGCTCGCCGGGCTTGGCGGCCGCCATGGCGCCGCCCGCGTCTCCGGGGCCGGGCGGCGGGGCGCCGGGGCTCTCGGGGGGCGGCCGCTGCGCCGGGGCCCCCCGGGAGGCAGCAGCCTGGGGCTCGCCGGGCGGGGGATCCAAATCTGCTGCGGGGTGGCGGCGGCCCTCGCGGGCCCGGGTCGGCGTTCCTCGGGAGGGCGGGCGGGCGGGCGGGCCCGTCGCGGGGCGCGGGAGCTCGGCGCGCGCTGCTGGGCTGCGCTCCCGGGCGCTCGCCGCCGCGGCTGTCACCGTCTGCCCCGCGGCGGCCCGGCCCGCCGCTTATATAGCCCGCTCCTGCCCACACGGCCGCGAGCTCGGATGACAGCGAATGCCATTTAAAGCGTGCGCGCTCCGCGCCCTTCCGCCTGACGACGCCCCGCCGCTCTGGGAAAGTAACGGCCCTTTCCCCAGCGCCGCCCGCCCCCAGCCAACCCGGCTCCGGAAGGCAGGCCCCGCCCGCGGGGTTCCGGGAGCATCCGAGGCCCCGGGAGCACGCGGCGGGGCGGACCCGCCGGAGAGCAGACGGGAGCCCCGGGATCGGGCCCCCCTGGGCTGCCACCGGCCGGCCGTCCCGGGATCCCCAAGTTCGCGCCGACAGTGGTGGCCGCGGCGGCGCAGGTCCCCTTCCCCCTCCGTGATCCCAGATGCACACACTCGAAGACGTAGGTGATTCCGCCGCGGGTGCTGCGTTGTTGGGCGCGTAGTGGAGGCAGTTCCCAGACCTCCTTGCAGCTGGGAGAGGGCTGGGCGCGGGAGAGCCGGGGCGCCTGGCTCCCCAGAACTGAGTTCAGAGAAAGGACTGGGTTTCTTCTCTGGATCCTTGCCACCCCCTCCCCAGACAGACACAAATCCATACACACACAAACCCGCACGCTTGGAGGCACGCACGTAGAAAGGCACCCTCTGATGATTCCATTCCAGTTCTTCCCTTCCCTGGCTGTCTTCTGTCTCCTCACAACCCCACCCCCAAGTCCCTGGGCCACCAGCCCCCTATTCATGCTCAGAAGAATGACACTTGCATAGGCATTAATAACAGCGATAATAACTACAATCTGGAGAGCTTCACTCCAAGCCAGCCAGTGAGCTTCGTTTTACATATATTATCCTACTTAATCTTCCTAACAGGCCTGCGAGGTAATTGGTATTCTCCCAAATTTACATATGAGACAGTGGAGGCACAGAGAGGATAAGTAACTAGTCCTGTCGTCACTGATGGAACCAGGCAGCCCAGACCGCACCGTGCGCGCCAACATAGTCCCTCGCTGAAGGATAGTAGTCACTTGTGCCCGTAAGGGCTTCTAAGAGCAAGTCCCCTAGTTTTCCTGACTCCCAAGGAGAAGCTGCGAGCACCGCCCCAGACCACAAGGGCCTCAAGTACTGCGGGCACAGGGCAGAGCTCACCCTGTCTGCATCTTCCCCATAGGCGCCCAGCAAGGCTCATACGGCTGCTGCGAAGGGAGGGAATCCATGGGATCTGGCCTCCAGTCCTTCTGCAGCCATTCAACAAAGATTCGCCAAGGACCTGCTGTGTACCAGCTCGGGACAGTCCGCGGCCTCGTGAAAGTTACGTTCCAGTGGGAGGGCCAGAAGATAAACACCTCAACTAGGAGGTATATTCCTGTGATGTGATAGGGACGAAGATGGAGAAATGTGCAGAAGGGGTGGCCAGGAAAGGCTTCTGAGTGGATGGTATTTAAGGTGACCCTAAGGGACAATAATAACCCTGCTCATATGCTTAATATGTGCCATGTTCTGAGTACTTTTTATGCATTAATTCATTTAAGGTATTTATTGTATTTAATCCTCTCAACAACCTTGGCTAACAAGCACTTTTCTTATTGCCATTTACAGATAGAAGAACTCAGCTGAGGTCACGCAGCTAGTGAGCAGCAGAGCTGAGATTCAAACCCAGGTGGACTTAGCTCCTAAGCCCTCACTCCTATCTTACACTGAAGCCCTTTGCCCTGTGGCGTACCAAGAAGGAACCAGAGTGTGACCAAGTGAGAGGAGAGCGTTTCAGGCAAAGGGAACCCTAATGCAAAGGCACTAAGGCAGGAAAGAGCTTGGCTTATTCTGGGAACAGTGAGAAAACCCATGTGGCTAAAGCAGAGTGGATGAGGGCAATGAGAAGAAGGGACAGTCACAAAAGGCCTGGACAGCCATGTTAAGGTTAAGGAGACAAAATTTTATTTTATTATTTTTTTTTAAGAGCATTTTATTCTAAGGGCAATGGTAAGGCACTGAAGAATTTGGGGCAGGCAAGCTACATGTTCCAATTCATGGTTTTTTTGTTTTTTTTTAATTTAATGTTTATTTTTAAGGGGGAGAGAGAGAGAGACAGAGTGCGAGTGGGGGAAGGACAGAGAGAGAGGGAGACACAGAATCCCAAGCAGGCTTCAGGCTCTGAGCTGTCAGCACGGAGCCCGACGCGGGGCTCGAACCCATAAACCGTGAGATCATGACCTGAGCCAAAGTCGGACGCTCAGCCGGCTGAGCCACCCAGGCACCCCTCCAATTTATGTTATTAAAACCTCACTCTGCCTGCCATGTAAAGTGTGGGCTGGAGAGGGGTGGGGAAGAAGCAGGGAGCCCACTTACAAGACTGTTACATCACCCTCAGACATCAGACACAGAGGACTTGGATTGGGGGGAGACGGTGGACGTGTAGGGAACCGGTCAGACTGGGGATTTGTCTGAAGACAGGATGAGAGCACTTGCTGATGGGTCAGATGGGGAGGTGGCAGGAATCAGGGGTGACTTTAATGGATTTGATCTGAGCAAAGCTCATATCAGAACTGTATTATGTGAGAGAAAAGTTAATTTACATAATCTTACGGCCACTATATTGGGGATTTCCGTTTAACAGCAACTTAGCAATACTCTAATACAGAAACTGGTACCAGGAATGCAAAGCTGCCACGTGTGAAAATCCTAAAAATCGTGGCACTGGCTCAGCCAACAGGTGGTAAGCAATACGGAAACAATTAGTGAGGATGGAAAGTTGGTGACCCTTCTTATACTATAACAAAACATTGATTAAAAACATCACCTGTGATGATTTGGAAGACGGACCACATGCCTGCTGAGCCCGTATTTCTAGAAAAATAATTGGAAAGAGCTAAAAACATGTGCACATGTTGGCTGCTAGATGATGCTTTGAGCAAGATGCCACAGGAAAGAGATTGGCTTGTTTGCGAGAAGAGATGGACAGAGGAGGAGATAATACAGACATCCGCTGTTGTCAGGGTTGGGAAAACCAGCTGTTTTTGTCCAAAGAGCAGGAGATCAGACTGTCGTGGCTTGCAGCCTCTCTTAGACCCTGTCCGCTGGGCCAAACGCTCGGCCCGGCAAAGGGATCAGCCCTGTGGCGAAGCATTATGTTAGTGCTGTTGCCTTATCATGCAAGTCTATCATTTCAGATGCCCTTAGAATAACTTTCACTTAAAATAAGAAAGAGATGAGTGGGGCAAGGCAGACAGACTTAATAACTGTGACAAGAAAGGAGCTCTAAGGTGTGGTTGCTGGCCCATGGAACTGACTAGAAACAGACAGACGTCCTAAGTTTTCGAAGGAATTATTATTACCAACAAAGCTGCAAGGCTGGACTTCAAAAGCCCGAGACTGTTCCAGCCCAGATATGTGCTCAAAGAAGAAAGACGTTCAATACAGACGTTCAATACGCTACAGGCTGGTAGTGGGGAGTAATAAACAAGAAGGAGGAATTTGCTAAGGGCAAAGCCAAGGGCCAGGGAGACCCAGGGCGAGGGTACTGCCCCCAGAGAGCCTCCTCCACCACAGGGCAGGGAAGTGCTCACAGTTCTAGAAGGGACTGCGGCAGAGACTGCTAGCTGTCCACCCAGCTGGGTCACATTTCCCAGCTTCCCTTCCAGCTGAGATGGGGCCGTGTGTCTAAACTCTCATCTGTGGAATGTGAGCAGAAGTCAGCTTCTGCCCCAGTGCGCGTAAGAGGAGAATCCTGCCCCAGCTTCCATGTTTTTTCCTCACACAGACTGGAAGACTGTCCTCATCCAGACAGACCCTGGATGCTTCGTGTTAGTCTAGATCCCTAAATAACCCTGTCCCGCAGAGCTATCTACCAACCCAAAAGACTTCCCTTGGAGCTATTATATGAGAAAGCAGTCAACTGAATATTTTTAAACTTCTCTAATTTCAGGTCTCTATTATATCGACTCAGCGTTGTCCTAACCGAGACAGCCATTAGACATCCAAGTGGAGAGGTCAAGCAGGACACAGAGAACTCAGGGGAGAGGTGACGGAAGGAGGGCGCAGTTTGGGAGTCTGTAGGGGACAGATGGGACAGTGGAGGAAAGCCCACCTTCCAGTGAAAGAAGGGTTGGGACCAGCCAACCCTGGGGGGCAGGCGAACCAGTCAGGGGCTCAGAGAAGCAGTATGTCCAGCAGTGTAAAAGGGAAACCAGGAGAACATGTCAAAATGCAAGAGAAGGATGTTTCTAGAAGGAGGGAGAAGATTAGAGCGGGAGTCCAGAGACAGGTCCTAGCCTGGCTCTCCCTGAACTTCCTGTGTGGCCTTGGGCAAGTCACTGTGCGCTCTGCACTGCAGGGGGCGCAGCTCAAAGCTGCCTCGTTGGAGCGGCCTTCCCTGGCCACCCTATTGAAGGCTGTCCTCAGTCACTCTACACCACTAACTAAAAGGCCTTCTCACTGGTTTGTCCCCCTCATCAGCGTGCTCTGCCTTCCCCACTGGACTAGACGGCCAGTCTCTGCCTTTCTCCAGCAGCCAGGCCAGGGCTCCGGGTTCCTCCTGAGTGGACCACCACTCCGCTCCTCCTCTCCCCGTGACCTCTGCTCCCATCGCTCCTGGCAATCAATAAGGGGGGGGGGCAGCAGCACATGCAGCTCCTCCAGACCCCAAATTCCCATGCTGGGGACTGGGGTACCCTGGGTCACCCCTCTCAGCTCCCCTGTTCCCAGCCCCAGGGAGGTAAAAGTAGGAAAGGAGATCTGTGCTTCACAGCAATGGTCCCAGGTTAACAACGACATTAGCCTGGAATGCTTTGCTTCCACTCTGCCTGAAAGTCTGGTTTTGGGCCCTGCTCATAGGGGGCTTCCAGGAAGAGGAGGGAGGGTGGAGAGATGGTCCTCCCCCCACGGATGGAATCTGAGCTCCCACATGACCTGGACTCCTCCATTCTACCACTGACCCCC